TCGCTTTTCCATACAGATCTACTTGATCGTATCCTTTCCAATATTTTCTAAAGCCACATACGAGTGGGGAAACTTAATTAAGTAAAACTGACAATAAATGGAACTGACACTACTCTCAAGGTTGGAGAATGATGACTATGTTTGTTTTTCCTCATCATCCCTGTCATCAGGTCTGTGAGAAAGAAGAACATAGTAAACATAACTAGTGATGTTGAGGCTTATACGCTGCACAACTCACCCGTCAATAGAGACAGTTATATGTTAGCTTTAGTGAAACTGAGTTTCTGGGTCAACATTGCCTAAAATGTTATTTTTCCTTATTCTCAAGTACGGTTTGTTTGTATTTCTTTCTTGTTAGGCATTTTATTTCTATCCAAAACTTAATGGACAATTTGATCGTCTTCTAGTGTTGATACAAGGCATACCATGAGCAGCTTGTAGATGATTTTTCTCCCTCCTTTCCACGCTTTATACAGACATATAATTGTACAGAGGCACTCGGAATATATTTTACAAAACAAGCGATTGGGTTTCGTAACGATCCAGAAAAATTATCACGCTAATGGAATGCATTTACTTACAATCAGTATGTTTTTGCAATACCCGGTAAAGCCTGACATGTCTATGGCTTAAACGCGAATTTGGTATATTGATTATTTCGAATTTTATATAATTAAAATCCTTTTCAGTATTATATTATTTGGGAAAAATACGATTATTATTGTAGTTATGGTTAAACACTAAAGAAATTTTTAGCACCGGTCAAAGCGCGGGCTCTCCTTCCTGCAATTAGGGAGCACTTTTGCAGTACGTTTTTCACTGCGCATGTTCAAGTAGAATGGCGTCGTCCCTAATTTCGAGGGCCCTGGCATGGCCAGGTGGTTAGGGCGCTCGACTCGCAATCTGAGGATCGTGGGTTCGAATCCCAGTCCCACCAAACATGCTCGCCCTTTCGTTGGTAAAAGAGTAGCCCAAGAGTTGGCGGTTGGTGGTGATGACTAGCTGTCTTCCCTCTAGTCTTACACTGCTAATTTATGGACAGCTAGCGTAGATAGCTCTCGTGTAGCTTTGTGCAAAATTCAAAACAAACCCTAATTTCGAACCGTCAACCACAGAGAGGCAGCCAGTCTGCATCAACCGGTTTCTAAGTTTTATATATATATACGTTATTTAGTTATTGATTAGTCAGTTTATTTTTACTTCTGTTAATTATTCATTATTATTATTATTACGTATCATTTTTAGACCAAGTTCCCAATATTATGTCTCTTTATGTATATAAGAGAGGGATTGTGCTTTTAATATAAAGAAGAGGAGATCAAACTGCTGATCGCTGCTCGACACTAAGCAACATGGCAAACAAACGTAAGCCTAGTCTAGCGTCAACAACCTGGTATAAATTTGGAAATTAACCGAAGTTAGTCATTGTACCCTCAAGCGATCTTCAACTCGAAATTAATGTGAATGTTTGTAATAAATTACGAAGAATATTAACCACGCTTTCAAGAAGAATATTAATTGCATTTTAAATAAATCACGAGAGCTTTACACCTCAGCGCCCTCTCCATATCCCCCAGAAACGATTTAAAAATAAATAAATAAAAAAGGTTGCAAATTCAATGGTTATAATTATGTAGCCAAAGGAAGCTAAATGTCATGCGTAAAATAATTCTAAAACGGTTCTAACTTTTTAAATATTTACTGGTGCAACACCTCATAGAATCTTTTTTTCCCCCTTTTTTTTGTACATTTGAAAGATAAAGTTAAATTTTGGAGTCAGGTTGATGAATTTCACCTATTTTTGAACGGCAAGGTTGACTTCCTGAACAACGATATTCAAAAATTTCAACCACTTAAACGTTCTTTAAGTACCATAACGTAGGTGAGAAACATTCGATAAGGAGACAGGGAACACTATTTACTGTAAAGTGCCCCCCAGTGGCACAGCGGTATGTCTGCGGACTTACAACGCTAGAATCCGGGCTTCAATACCCGTGATGGGCAGAGCACAGGTAGCCCATTGTGTAGCGTTGTGTTTAATTACAAACAAACAAATAAATTGTGTAAAGTAGCTCTAACTTGTAATAAATAAATAAATTTCGAACTTGGAGTAAAATCTGACCATTGTCGATTTATTGAAAAATAACGTTAACCTTATTAATGCATGCTGAAGAACGTCAAACAATTCTATGATTCAACGTTAACGTTCTAAATGACGCTGAAAAATGTCAACTACTAGCTTGTTTAAACCGACGTTAACCTTCTGAATGATGTTGAAGAATGCCATTCCTATATACTGTACTTGAAAATAAACCAAAATAAAGCTTTTTTGTTTAATGCTAACGTTCGTGAACAACAATCCTACCTATATAAATGCATTCAAAAATGTTTGATTTATGACTGTTTATTGCCAACAGTAGTTTAAATTTTTAAACATATTTGGTTTTAGTTTTCATGTAGGTAGTGGGGACAGGAAAGCTGACTTAGTTATTATTTATTAGACCTAGTGGTCCAGTTGTAATATTTTTTTACCTATTTATTTTCATTAAAAGTAACTACTTTCTAATAATTGCGAAAAGTTGTTGTTGGTTTGTGCTCAACTATCGACTTAAAATGTTTTCACGTGCAACTGACAGTTAAATCTGATATGCAGTGTATTATGTGGGTCGTATTACCGGAATATGTGTCGTACTGTCGTACATTCATTCATCTCACATCAAGGTTTAAATCTGGCTGGATCTGCTTGTGTTTTGTATGCTTCTTGGAAGATAACTGGATAATACTATCCAAGGTAAAAGGATTCTGTTTACTACGCTCTTTTTCTTTTACATGTTAAAACTAGCGTAACTTTTATATAAAGTTAGGTAGCTAGGTATTCGATAGTTTATGTTATACACAAACCAACATTTCTAGATTGATATTATTTTTAACATGTTAAAACTAGCGTAACTTTTATGTAAAGTTAGGTAGATAGGTATTCGGTAGTCTATGCTATACACAAACCAACATTTCCAGATTGATACCATTTTTTCACATGTTGAAACATTTTGGGTTAAATATATAAATTATTGCATAAATAATTCAGTCTTTTGTTCAAACGTGCAGTTTTTGAAACTTATAACAAACTGATCAGGAATTAAAACATGCCCATTGTTTTTATTACACTGCGGATCTATCGGTGTAAGAGAGTCTCTGACGAAACGATTTTGGCTGCGGATCTATCGGTGTAAGAGAGTCTGTGACGAAACGATTTTGGCTGCGGATCTATCGGTGTAAGAGAGTCTCTGACGAAACGATTTTGGCTGCGGATGAGGTGGTGTAAGAAAGTCTATGACGAAACGGAAATCTACAGTCTATATGAAAGTTAAAATTTCTGACAGGAAACAAAACAAGTGCTTGTATATTAATAACGTGCGATGAGTTTATAAGCAACAAAATGTGTGGACTACACAGTAACTGATTATAAACTTAAAGTATCCTTAACATACAATAGATGAATTTCAGCAATAAATGTATTAAAAGCATGTGAACTTTTCTTGTTCTTCCAACGAGGCTTTAACCTTCGCCTCAGAGCAGGTTCTACGTCATCAACAATGACGAAAATAATGTTTTTGTTTATCTAACAAAACCGAATGATTGTTATTAAAACAATGGTCACTGTAGATGCTTTTTTTTTTCAAATTCTTTTTATCTTGTCCATTGATGATCGAAATCAAAGGTGTGCAATAAATAGTATCTTAGGTCTATCATTTGTCTTTCTATTAAACTTTTCGTTCAATACCAGAACGTATCGGTTTGAACGTCGATAGGTGGCGAAAACCATCAGTCAATTTTCATTCGTTATTTTCAAGCAATTTTATTGGTTGATATAAAATTTTCTATTATCATGATGGATGTTCATTATTGCTTCGTAAAGATGACATTTCTTTTCCAATTCCAACTTTCAGTGCTCCAATCCAAATTTCTTTGTTTGCTGTCTGCCTTCTTATTTGAATCTCTTTTTATTCGTTGTCTTGATTATATAGTTGATGTTGCTCGGAAACCAGATTTGATTTGATTTGATTTTCAAAGTTGGGAAAAACAAACCTTTACATGCTGTTAAATATTTTTCACAGTACTTTCTAACTTTCATTGTTTCTCGTTTTTAAGAGTTTCCTAATATGGTTGATGCTAGGAGTCATCTTAAGTGATAAATATTTTTCTTTGCTCTGCAACATTGTGCCCCCCCCCCCTTCTCACAGTATATTCTCCACTTCTCACATTTCGAAATATATGAGCTGCTAAAGAAGGGGTCTTCTGTAAAGTTCACTGGTACAAATCAAATCATTTTGAAGTTTCCAAATTCTCCAGAATGTAAATATAGATATATGTACCTACATGCATAAACACCCATAAATATGTAAAAAAACGCCACTCTCCAGAAAATAGAAAATTTAATCCATATATTTATTGAAAATACAATCTCTGTATACATATATCTATATATATATATATACCTACCGTATTGTCCCTACATAACGCCCCCACTAATTATAGTGTTTGTGCAGTTTCAGATTGTATTTTTCACATGTGATTTTTTTATTTGATAAGTGTGTGTCGGTGTGTTTGTTTTTCTTCTTTTTTTCATATCAAAATTACGGCAATAAAAGTGAATTACTATTGCTGTCAAAATTACAGTAATTAAGTAGATTACAGTAGAGGATTACTATTGCTGTCACACAAGTTAAGCCTTATAAAAATACCGTTTTTATCTGGATAACAAGTTAGTACAAAATAATGATAGTCTTTGTCATATAACAGATATGAAATGTTTGGTGTGGTTTGGTTATTTTAGAGCAAAGCCACATTGGACTATTTCCTGTGTCCACCGCGTTGTAAGCCCGTAGACTTACCGCTGTCCCATCGGGAAACCACATATGAAAGTATAATAAGTAAAAATTGATCAATAATATTTTTCTGAATACCAATTATCATCCCTATTGCTACAGTACTAAGTTTGGTGGTAGTGTGTAAACGTTACATTACCGCGTGCTATTTGTGAAAAACATGAAAAGAAAAGGGGCTAAATAAGTGCTATTTGTGAAAAACATGAAAAGAAAAGGGGCTAAATAACAAACCTTATCACCTCTCGTGTATTTTACCAATGGATAACTTGAGTATTACTTCTGTTTGGAGTTATAAGATGGTTATCATTATATGCTAGATATTAAAAAAAAACTTCTGCTATTTACACAATGTGACAACGGTCAACAAAGATTTTTTTTCTCCCTTTATAATGTTTATAAAACTGTTTTGAATCTCCGTTAATATATTACATTTGTTCAACTTTAACTTAATTTCATAACTCCTTCTCACTCAACACGTACCATCTCCACACCATCCCCTCTTTGGTCATGTTTGATAACATCACAAGACATTCCGCTTTTATGAGAAGAAAAATACTTGCTCGTAATTGCTACACACGGCGATTCCACTAACAGAATGCAAGCAATAGAAACTAGGTACGAAATAAACATGTGTCCACAAAATATGTAAATCTGAAATTAAACAATAAGAGATATGAATGAACGAAAAAGTAGCAAGAAATTCTACAAAAAAAAATGCATTTCAGCCAATCCCTCGTTAGCTACCTATTGCACATATATTGTCCGAATGATGTCAGTTAATATTCCAAACATTTATTTCCGCGAAAAAATTGACAATAATAGTTTTCTTTACATAATATATTGCCCAGAACAAGAAACTTTAGAATCTGTCCAAAATATATTTTCTTGGTTATCTGCCTAATTTTTCTACAAAAAATTGTGTTATTCTTCAATTATTATAACGTTTTAACAAATACAGACAAGTTTTCAATTTGTTTAACTAATTTCTACACCGTACAAAATTTCTTATATAATTAAATTGCACGTAACAATGATGAAAAGTAACACTGTTGCAAGAGATACACTAGGTGAAAAAAGCAATGGCGTGGAGGGTACTTACATATGTGATAGGCTTGTAATTAACAGTGTAACTGGTGTAACCATTGTATACGGTTATGACTACATGGTGGATGAGATACAGCATGTACGTCATACGGTCTAAGGATAAAAATGGTTTCCATGATAATAGAATGTTGATGATGCCTATAAAAAATAAAAATTCCATTTATCAATATTCATTTTATACAGAACAACTCTGAGAAACATACGCAATCTGTAAAACTGGAAAAAAATGTAACTTCAACTTCGTTCTTTTTTCTTCAATATAGTTTTCCATTTCTGCACTCAACGTTTGTTGTAACCACAAATCGGATATGATTCCATCAATACAAGATACTTAATTTATTGGTATACTACATTTGTATTCACTTTTTTAACACATACATAACTTGAGTTTCCACACTTATCCAACTAATTTATCTCGTTCTTCTTGATGCTATGGGATCTGGTTACCTATTAATTTAATAATTCTAATACAAAGTATCTCCATGACAAGAAAGTTAAACTAATTTCGGAGTTATATCCAAGAACTAAATCCTAATTTCGTTATATATTTTTTATTTTGGGCAACAGGGAAATTATGTTTCTGCTCAGAGAAGAAGAAAAATTACAACCAAGAATATGAGACAAACACGCAGATTGGGATCGAACGAAGCTTGGAAAAACTGAGAAAGACTTGAAGGTTATGGGGAGTGGCCATGACTTCACCGGTCACTCTAGTCATTTATTATTCTAACTGTGAGAAGTGATCTGCAGTCCAGATTAACTGGAGTTATTAGTTTTGTCAACCAATTCAACACATCTCTGGCATAGAGGAGGTAAGAATACTGGATTGCCAACAGATGCGTGCAAAACAGAAAGCACAAAGATTCTATAGTTCTTCCCAGCTTCTAGCTTTTCACCACCCAAATATTCCTTTAAAGCACCTACACAGCTACGAAAAAGATGTATTTTGGGCCTATCGTTTATCATCATTATCACACATTATTAAAGAATAAGGGAAATTATTTGTGTTTGTACCAGGTGACCTCCCACATGGATTAACCATCAGGAGGAACTGAAGCTGAAGAATGTTTTCAACTTCCACCTGATACGTTACTCGGATCTGAATCCAACTGAAAATTAACAAATGTCAGTGTTTGTATAAACACACCATTTATAGGAATAGCAAAAGGTAATTTATACAGATTCCAGAGGCATGTCAGGAAGGCAGCTAATAGAATGCTTGGACGACAATCATGCCGCACAGTGCCTTCTGCTAGTCCTAGATGGCTTAATCTTAAATGCTTGAAGCATTTGAATGACAATCAGTTGATCAACTGGAATTCAATAGGAGCTAAGATCAAGAGCACATGACGAAGACCTCGTTATGCTAAGGATTTGCACCATTCACAAGACAAAGCATATTTGAATATAGCTGTGAAAGGCTACGTATTCATGGGTCAACTCAAAAAGGATTTGTCAAATGAGCCTTTGAACATTACTTAGTCATTAGGGATATTATTTTTATTGAAGTTGTATCAGTAGCAAGAGATTAAATCTTAGTGCAGTGAGCTTGAAAAAGAATTACTATTGTGGCTTAACTAACTGCAGTAGAGCCTCAAGAGGCATCTGAACATCAGGAGCAGAAAACAGACCAAAAACAGTTCAGTCAGATACACCCAGTTGTAGACCCGCAGTGAGAAAAGGATCCACCCACGAGGCAAGAAATATAGAATCCTGTCCATCCAGCTGTATGACGTCTGCTTCAAATAGGGTATTTTAGATAACATTCTGATAGAAAATTGGATATTTGTTTTAGCTCTAGTCATGGAAAGCTTTGCAAATTGGACCCCATTTATTCCCCTATATCTTCAGACGTATTCAAGTCTTAAAAGTGCGTCACTACCCCCCCCAAAAAAAATATAAAATTAATATACTTGCATAAGTTTGTTTGTTTGTTTTTGTAGTTAAGCACAAAGTTACGCATTGGGCTATCTGTGCTCTGCCCACCACAGGTATCGAAACCCGAGTTCTAGCGTTGTAAGTCCTCAGACATACCGCCGTGCCAGTTGGGGGGGGTCACTTGCACGTTTCGCAGGTGATAAAATTAATTGTGACTGATCATAACAGGTCAATTTCACTATTCACTGTGATGTCAGAGAACCCGTAATTGCATTATATGGGTCAATATAAACCCTATAAATCGGAAAAAACTAGCATTAGATTCCCCTCTTTGTCCTGGAAAACGAACACCCTGGAGTTTGGTGACGTACACAATGACTACATACAACCTTATCATGATTGTTTGCACACTGGTGCCATACCAAAATTCAGTGCCTAGAGGTATATCAAATGTTACTTTCATGCTGTTAGTACCCCACCTCATTTCCACAGTCCAGTCTAAGCGTTGCTTACTCAAGTATTTGATGGAGACTGGAGTTTTCAGCCGCCATATCCTTAATCCCACCTTTGATTAAAATGCGGATCCAACAACAACTACTCAGTTGAAAGATGGTATTTCAACAGAGATTTGAGCTATCCCTAAGGAAATGTCATGCACTGTACTGCTCAATATCAGTTGTCAATACGGACGTAGTAATCGAAAATGATGGTGTAAACATTGAGCATTTGGGATATTGGCGCCGCCTTGATTGATATCTGAAAATCGTGTACACGTGCTAAAGATAATTTGAAAATAACTACATTGACTTTACAACCGCCTTGTATATTAATTTGGTGTAGTACAGCATCTTGCTCTTGGTTGTTATTTTTATAATTTACTGATTTGTTTTTCGTTTTTTGTTTTGTACCTCACGTGCACATAATTGACATTTCTTAGTAATTATGTGCATTTCGTTTTAATTAATTAATTGTTATCTCTATGTTATATGACCATTCAAATAAAACAATGCACGTCTACACCTCTGGAAAAAACATATATATATATATATAATCAAAGATGCTAAGACAGTTCACTAATAAGTAAATTAAATTTATAAAATGTTTCACAGAAATATAGATAACTATTGAAGTTTTATCTACGAACTTGAGGTACGAAATATTTCTTAAAATAACCCAAACAAAGAGAACTATTAAAATATTAATCAATTCATAGCTGCCGAGTTATTAGTCGGTGTTTACAATTCTCACTAGATTGTTATCAGCTAAAATGGAACTGTACTGTTAATCTCATGTTACTGGATCATCTCAGTCTTAATGGAGTTATCTACTTAATTCCAATTCGTTGGATTATCTCAGTTTTACAAGATTCACTTTGGAATGCTCACTATGATCACATTGTAATGTTGTTTTAAGTTGTTGTTTTTTTTTCACAGACAAAACAAGGCTTAAAATACATTTTTAAATGCTATAAGCCGGTTTATCTTTATTTTAACTAGGATTATCAATATTTTGTGAATGAGCCTCATGTCATACTAAACTCAATATAAACATGAAAACTACCCTATGATTACAGAATAGCATATCGTGAAACTAACTGACTATTTTTTAAATATTTCTTTCCATAACTTATATTTAACATACCTCCACGCCCAGTGACACACATCAATATTACCCAGGCTACACTAAGAGCCCATAAAGGACGGTGTAAGCTAGCATACATTACAGCTACTACTGTGCTGCCCTCTACACCACTGTTCCAACTACGCATTCCATACATCACTGACAGGAAGAGGAAACTGGAAAACAGCCAGCCAAGGATCACGGAAAACTAAAATGATGAAAGGTATAATGTTAGAAGATCCGACTGTAGCATTAGATTTTCTTTTTCGTTTAAAGAATCTCACTAAATTAAAAAAAAAACACTTTAACAAACCAGAGACTATAATGGTCTGAAGCACGTATCAGAACATCGTCTTACAAGTAGCACTTTGTAGTTATTTTTTTAAATAAAACTTCTTCTGCCGTTATCAGTTTCTTGATCAATTTTCAAATGTTTTGATAAACTCGTAAGATGAAGTTTCGTTGACTTAACGTTTACATTAACCAAAATACTTAAACTACAGTGGCATTCAAGTAATAACAACCGTAACAATGTTATTGTTAATTATAATTTATTCAACTTTGGTGTTTTTCCAGAAAAACTCGTGCATTGGGATAAAATGTATTAGGAGTTTATCTAAGACGTATGGTGTAGGGATATGTTTGTAAATGTACCTATAACGTCAAGTACCTTTGAAATACTTTCAAATTTCTTCTTTACTATGGCATACCCAGCATATAATCCAATACAGTAACTCCCTAGATGGTGAATTGGGTTGTAATAGCGAATTGCTGCTATTAGTCCTGAATTCCTTTAATTAAAAAGACAAAATACACAGATCATTCAATGCGTTTATAATATTTAAGTTTCAGTCTGAGTCAATGTTTCTTTCCTTTTAAGATAACCCTGTGGATTAACGAAACAACAAATAAAATGATTTAAAAAAAAACAACCAAAGTGCACTTATAAAGATGACCCCCCCTTACGCCACAGCTACAAATGAGACCCCATTTTGCTTGAGATGAAGGGGTAACATTTCTTCGAAAATAAGTAAAGTTTATAAATAACATTGTTAACTAAATATTATGATATGTGTAATCTTATTTTTGAATATACTACCCCCCCCCCCCTCACGGATCTTGGTTAAGAAGCTGCTAGGCCTTAACGGTGATCTGAATGTTTGTATTTTTAAAATGATTCACTGATAAAGCAAAGATAGTTAACTGTAAAGAAAGGCTTGTTGATACTTGTAATGTTGGTTGTTTGTTTTTATTGGATGGGTGGATAAGGGTTCGCTATGGCCTACCCCGTATTAACAATTATGTAGTTAAGCCCAAGTCATGGCTAAATAAATTAATCAGATTTAATTCTCTTAATACACTCGTCTGCTTCAAAAAAAAAGTTAAAATCTAGGCAACAAAATGATGCTAGATGTATTTCAGAAATATAAGATACGAAACTTCTGCTCACCAGATTCACGTGAAACTCTAAATTCTTTTGATTTAAAGAA